CTCAAAGGCATCTCAAGCTTACTTTATTTAAAACAGAACTCATCTTTCTCTCTAAACTCACATTTCCCTCATAATTTCCTTATTTCTGTCTAGAATAACACCATTTCCCCAAACATCCAGGTCAACAATATAGGACTTTTTGGCATAAGAATAGATAGGCAGTTGCATAGTGTTTCTGCTATTTCTGAAATGTTCTCCCCTTTTACCTCTTTGAATCCCAATTTGCCATCAAGGCTGAGCTTCAAAAAGCCTTTTCTGATTTTCCCAGTTTCTGGTCCCATCGCCCAGACCTCCTGCAAATCACCTTGTACTTATCCTGAATATATCCCATAATTATTTTTCTATGAACATGTTTCATTCCCCTAGTAGCAAGTAAACCCTTTGAAAATTAGGACTTATATCATTAACAGTGCCTGGTACAAATAGCACTTGATTTTATGTTTGTTGGTTGATTGGTTGACATATCTGAAGGAGCTACTTATCTATTAAGAATCATATCATAAACATTACTTAAATTGAATTAGATGTTTTATTGTGTTATTTGGAGGTCATCAATCACTTTCAGCACTTTCTGTTTTCTTCAAGAAAAGACTTGAGGATTTTGAATAGCCAATAAGCCTTTGACTTCTTTCATTCCTTGAATCTGAAATATCTTTTCCAACAAACTTCTGTATCTTCCCCTGTGCTGTATTTCATATTCAAGTGATCAAGCATCAGACTGCATTTAATTTGGAGAATCTCATCAAGTTCTTCACAGAATTTTTCTTCTGCTTAATTCCCTGTAACAGATGTTGGACTCTAATCTTCAGATGATATGTTCACTTAAAGTCATCATGATCACCTTAAAATGAAGTAATTAAGTATCCCATGAAAGTGCTTTTTGAAACCAATTTTTCAACACACAGATGTGCAAGTTATCACAACAGAGGTGACCATTGAAAGAGTATGATTAGATCCATAGATCATGGAAGTAGATGAGATCAACAAGGGAAAGATTATAGTGAGAGAAAAAAAGAGGGTTCAGGATAAAGTTGTGAGGGACGCTCACATATCGGGAGTGTTGGAGGAGCTAGATGTCTCCTATTGCCATTTTTCTCAGTGTTCTCCATGGGAACAGCTGCCTCTAATCAGGGGAGAACAGTGGCAATAGTTCTAAAGGACTTGGGAATAGCAGCTAGACCTGATTAAATGCACCAAGAAAAATGTCTGCATTGGAAGTGAAATACTTCTTGTTGACTCAGGGAACAGTTCTGAAGCTGTTTCAAAGACGTGAAGAATCAAAAAGGATAGAAATTGTTGCAAGGGATGCTTTTATTAGAACTAATGACAACAGGGCAACTAGGAAGATATAATAGCTACCAACCACTGTGATTTCTCACATCTATAAAATATGGAAATGATCTATGCTTATAGAGCATCCTTGATGAAAACACAATAAGGAAACAGACTTCTTACACAGAGACCATGTCCTTATAGTCACATGGGTGATAAAATCCAGAGAATATAAATCTACCCCCTCTCTCACACAATGATTATTGACTTCCACATCATATCTGATAGCATGGAGAAAAATGCAACCTTAAAGACAATTCTTATGCAAGAAGGTATCTCACATATTGAAATTACATAAGAAATTTTAGAAAAAAGCACCTAAAGAGATTACTTTGTTTAATGACCCACTGAGTATTAATAAGTGAGGTATTAAGCAGGGAGATATATGTAATGGGGGCTTGCTTGGAGCATGCCTAGATTTTCCAACATGGAGTCATTCTGATTCTGGGAGAAGTTATGCTCAATTCCCCTACTGTGTGGATAGGAAAAGCTTCCTTCAACTGGCTAAGCAGCTGAAACAGGCTGTGTTTTTAATATTGGCAGCCTGGGGCAATCTATTTCTCTTTCCCAAATTGCTAAGGTGGAAGGGGGGATGCCTTCTCTCCTTCTTTTCTTTTTATCCTGTGTCTCCATGAAATGGGCCAATGGTGTTTATCTTGTTATGTTTCATTTGTCTTTCTCATTTTCTAGGTCTAGGCATTAATCCTCACCAGACCCAGGAGTTGGAGACGTGGCAACCTTGGAGACAGGATTCCGCTAAAGATGATGCAGCTAGCCAGCCTGTAAAGAAAGGTCTAAGAAGCCAGGTGCTTAGGACTAGAGCCCAAGGAGGTGTTTGCACTTGCAACTGTGCTTCTTAAAAACTTAGCTAAGCAAATTGCATATTTGTTATTGTACTTTTGAAGTAAATATTTCTTTGCAAAAGCTAATCCAACTGTTAAGTGGCTAAATGAAATTGAGGTGCAAAGGATTACCCCCTACAATTGGGAGAACACCACTGGTAGAGGCTGGAGTCATTGATAGACACACTCCCAACCTCCCTTAAGGGTATCAGAGAATCCTGGGTGAGGGTTATGTGTAACATACCTGGCCTTCAGGCAATGAGGGCCAGGGTGGTCAACATTAGATGTAGATATACATAACATAAATATAAATAGATGTTCATGTTCCACAAATATGTGTTTGCCAAAAGTCAATGTCTTAAGCTAAAATGAGAGAAAGGTTTCCTATTGCTGACAAGACTCTCAAACTGTTTCTTTTTGACAGTTGTTTTAGTTGCATTATGCCATGGAACATTGTGAATTCTCCTTAGAAATACACAGTAATGAGGATGACATTGACCCAACCATGCACATTTTAAAAATAAAGCAAATAAAATGCATATTGTCCATCTTTTGGATTTCAGCTGGACAGATAGAAGGCCTATTACACTAAGCCATCAACACATACTTACACAACTGTTGTTAGAAATATAATGAGCTAAGCTCTGACCCTGGAGTAGAAAGAGGAAATCAGATTGGGTCAAATTTAGGGAATCACACAGTACATTTAATGATCCCAGCAGATCACAGTAAATAAATCCACCTTTTTTTTTAAACAACATTCTCCTAGTGATATTATTTAGCCATGAATTCTAGAATATAATGATTATTGAAAAATTAAAATTATAAACAACTTGAAAGGCAATGGAAATATATGGTAGGTAGAAATCATCCATAACACATTGCCAGTGATAGGTTTTAGTTGTTGTTGTTATT